CCGCAGCAGCCTGCCTGTGATTGGCTATCATGATCTTTATCCTTAGACCAGGAGCTGTCTTCATGCTGGGGCTGCACAATTGAGAGCACTCCAAGCGCAAACACAAGTATGCATGCACTGTATGTGGCAGCACAGTTTAAGGCCCAGTCCATACTGCTACATATATACATACAGCTGGCTGGAAGAGGTCAATCAGCAGTGTTTGCTTTCAAAGATCTGAGAATGGCAAGAAGAATGCATAATCTGCAGGTTGAGTTGTTCACTTGTTCTATAATAAGCTGTCGCACAGCGATCATGCACTAAGAAAAACTCTCCTTTAGGCATTTTCAGTAATTGCAATAACTCATCAACCAATCAGAATTCTCTTTACTGAAGTCAGACTATAGGGTTGATCCAGAGAGGTTGTCATTGGTACTAGATTTGCAGTTTTCTTCCGTTTAATATTTATTGAACAAATCCAGAAGTATAATATTTAAGGAAGCCTGCATAGTGAATCCAGGAGCCAGGATCTTTCTAATTCAGGATCTTTGCTACTGTGCTTACAGTAGTGTTAATTACACTCTAGTGAAAAGCACTGCCTTAGATGATAGCCCCATCCCTTTGCAGGTATGTGTTGCTAATATGGATAGGGTTTTATGTGTGCTAACAATTCGTTTTTTAAAGGCAACCTTTTAGGAGCCTACCACCTACTTTAAGTTCAAGCACTAGTACCTCTTGAACTAAGAAGAGAGGGTCAAGAAGAAGGGGGTAGACCCTGCAAGTTTGTCTAGAAAGATTAATGTCAGTGCAAATAAAAAAGTATAACAGACAGTACTCAACTGTGTTTGAAAAATGGATGCCAGGATATTACAATGGTCTGCTCCTGGCGCCATGATGCCTGTAGAGAACAATGGCTAAGACAATATTTGTAGCATGCCTGAAGGTAGAACATATCTAGACATCCTCATGCAAATCTTTGTTTATATGCCACTGAAAGTAAAGAGATAAGCATACCAAACTGACATTCTACTGTAGTGTCTTATTTGCACTATTAGATTATATTTTATTAATGTATTTGATGATATTTCATAATGTATTGTATATTTAAATTATATTTTTTATGTGCTTTTCAGTATACATCAGCTCTGACATTTGATGCTGTTCAAGTGATGACCGAGGCCTTCCGTAATTTGCGGAAACAGAGGATAGAAATCTCAAGAAGAGGAAATGCTGGCGATTGTTTAGCAAATCCAGCAGTGCCATGGGGACACGGAGTAGAAATAGAGAGAGCTTTAAAGCAGGTAACACAAGGCTAGCAACTATTATTTCCTTACATAGGAAAACTTAAAGAGGATCTTGCACCTAAAAGCAAGGTCAGCTTTTTTAAACGCATCTCCCTCCTCCTTGACTTAAACACTGAATAACAGTTGAAAAAAATCACCTATACGGGAAAAGGTTAGGCAGTATATTCACCATTCCCCTAGCTTCCAACTGCAGAGCATAAAGATGGCAATACATTATACAGTGGTACCTCGGTTCACAAACTTTATTCCCTCCACGATTCTGGTCGCAAAACCGAATCAAACTGTGATCAGACTGCGATCTCTCCAACATAAAGGAAATCCTCTTTTAGACAATTGACCCTAAACAAATATTACCATTGCAAAATGTCCCTAGTATCTATAACCCAGTGATAATTAATCATTTCAGATTTTCACACATTTGCAGTCCTGATTACAATGAGGGTGAAGACAAACATAGAGGGTTATTTCCACCTATGGGCACACAGACACACTAAACAAGAAAAAAACTGACAGAGGTTCTAACCCTTGCAGTATCATTCAGTTGGGTTTTTTAACCAAAAGGGGTTGAAGTCAACTCTATAAAGCTTGTTTTTAGAAACACTTGAATGCACACAAGCTATCTGGCGCTGTGAGGAATATCCAAGCTGTCTGTTTGGCTGTACTGTTTTTGAGAACTTTGCGGAAGGACACAAAACGTAAGAACTAGCAGTGCACTGATATGGGTAGACTGAAATCATCTCTGAACTAGTGCTGACACTGTCCTTCCTTCTGGAGGGGGCTACTTTTGTTCCCCATGGTTCTTGTGTGTGCTGTAAAGTAGCCACAACCCCAAGCTCACTCCAGTGATTGCCTGCAATCTAAATACAAATTAATAAAATATACATGAGATTGTAGTTCATCATGGGAGCGAGCTTGGAGCTGTGGCTACTTTACAACACACACAGGGACAATGGGAAACAAAAGCAGCCACCCTCCAGAAGGAAGGACAGTATCTGGATGAATTCAGAGATGATTTGAGGATTTACAGCTGAGCGATACACAAATAAGATGCATTTTTGTTAATAGTTAGGGTACTTCAATGTATTTTTATTTAATATTTAATTTGTGAATTGAGTGTCCCTTTAGGAGCTGATTGCTGTGTGTGGTAAAAACTGAGTAACCGGTCAATAACTATTTCTTTAAAATTTTCAATAGGTCCAAGTTGATGGATTGACAGGAAATATAAAATTTGATCAAAATGGTAAAAGAGTAAATTATACAATCAACATCATGGAACTTAAAACCAATGGTCCCCGAAAGGTAATTTATAAAGAGTTTCTTCCCCCATTTTTTGGTAAACAAGATCAATTAAGATATATAAAAAAATTAAAAGTCTGCTATGCGTCATCAGTTATTGCTAGAAATTTGCTAGACTTTCTGCAGAATTATGTTGTTTTTTTGGTTTAAGATCAACATTAAAGATTTCAATTGGATGCCTCACAGGTGACTCTGACAGGGTTATTCACAAAAAGGTGAAGGGTTTGGAGTCAGGAGAAGTGAACAATCTAGGACAGCATAGCTGAACTGGAATGTGAGCTGAATTGGAGAATTTCTCCAAATCGGCTATTTTGGCCTAGATTTTTCACTTCTCCTGCCTTCTCCAAACTTTTCACCCTTTTGTGAATAGCCTTGTAAGATTTTTCAGCTTACTTCAGCCTCCCAGCAATGCATGCCTGAATATCTGTTAAATCATTGAAAAAAAAAGACACAGCAGTGTTTATCTCCTTGGCGGCCGGGAGCAGGAGACTCCCGGGGCGCCAGGGAGAGTTACCTGTTTGGAGATCAGGTAACCAGGGACGCTGATCTCTCGGCAAGTGGCCAGAGCCAGCCGTAAGATCACTGCTGGCTCCGCCCAGCTGTCAGAAGCAGGCTGTCGGACAGCCAATGGCCGGCCGCTCGGCCAGCTTCGGCTTTCAGCACGGCTCAGCCAAGCCCATGCATATGCGTTTGGCTCGACTGAGCCGTTCGGCCACGTTCGGGAGCTGTACGGGCTATTGTGAATAGCCCGTACAGCACCCCCCCCCCCCCGGTTCTACTGAACCGAAGGGGTCCTGGAGCCGAAGCTAGACGAAGGATCGGCCAAAGCTACGGCTAGATCCTTCGGCAGCTTCGTGAATAGACCCCACGTATACTTTAATGGGTCTATTTATAAAAAAAATACAGCATAGCTATTTCTCCAGCAAGACTGCATGTACATTAATTCTGTGCAAATTAATTTTCTCTTCTGGTCAAATGTGGCAGGTAGTCAAGTGTCCCTGGTTTTAATAAATGAATAAACTGTGTCTATGGGAGTTAGAGAAAGATAATGACTGAGGTGACAAAAAAATAAACAGTACTTGCAGGGGGGATTCGACAAGGATGATGGTTGAACTTTAGCAGTAGTTAAATCTACAGCTGCAGACTAACTTTTAGAAGATCCAGAGGTTCATGTACTGTAGTAAATGTGGATCTAGTGTAAGTACCTGGGATGTGGCTAAAAATGTGGATCGTGTGCAGGTACCTGCAATGTGGCTAAAGTTGTGAATAATGTATGGGCCAACTTTTTCCTCTTACGTTAAATTGGCTTTATTTTTTACACAATAATTATGTTGTATTGGCTTTTTTTTTCTTGATCCACTTACAATTTTTCTGTTCCTATTACTGTAATGTCAAGTTGATGTTATTTCACTGTATTTCTATACTCATTGTTATAAATATATTTAAACAAACTGCTACAGTATTTCCATTTTTTTCAATACCTGAACCTATGGATCTGTCTTGTTATAAAGGTATTCTCAGATACTGTTTTTTTCTCATGGCAGACATTATTTTTTTCAATTTCCTGGAGCCACTGTTCATTAATTACTACCCGAGACACTGGACTGCATGCCAAGTACAGTCCTAGGTTAAGTCATTAAGAAAGGATTGCTTATTAGAGAGACTTACGCTCACTTTCTGTCCTGCTGAACATTGACCCAGACAAGATGTGTGGATAACTCTCCAACAGCAACATAGACAAAAATAAAAATGAATTTCTTTAGTAGAATATCGAAGGCTGTTTTAGATCTTACCTGACTTTCTGTCTGGTAAAAGCATTGTCAGCAGGACAGGAAGTGAGGGATGTGAGGATAACTCTACAACAGCAACATAGACAAAAAAAAAAAATACATTTCTTTAGTGGAGTATGGTAAGGCTGTTGTAGATCTTACCTGACTTTCAGTCTGGTAAAAGCATTGTCAGCAGGACAGGAAGTGAGGGTGCATCTCTCTAATTGAGCTCTCATCTGAAAAGCTGTAAAAATCCAACAGGAGTTTTAATCCTTCCCCACTCTAAATAAAAAAAACTAGGAAATTAGATTGAGGCTTGCACAGACTACGCATAGGTCTAGAATGTATAAATGTATATCTTATATGCTGTTTCTTTATTTAAAAAAATGTATTGATCATATTAAGTAAATAAACCTTAAAGTGATTTAACAAATGTGGTAAAATCAGTTAGTTATATTTGATTGCTCTATTTATTACATTCGTGCTTACCTTTATTCTCCCAAGTTCGCAAGTCATTTATTTTTCAATTAGCCATCACTTACTGTTTTGTTATTTTAATTTGGCAGATTGGATACTGGAGTGAAGCTGACAAAATGGTGGTTACAATCTCTGATGTTTTGTCTGCTAATGACTCCATGGGTCTTGAAAACAAAACTGTTATTGTTACAACTATATTAGTAAGTATTCTTGAATGTGTTGCTTTGTATTGAGATTTAAAGATGTTACAATGGCACATTCTCAGCAAATGTTATAAAGCAGCAAAAAAAATGCTATAATCACCCACAATTCACTTCCCCTTCATTTAGAAGTGCGTTGCAGTGTTAGATGTAAAATAGATCCAAAATTGTACTTTCTCAGGGTATTATCTTTAGCTGATAACATAAGTGGAAATAATTACAAGCTTTACCAAGGAAAGTCCCGTATTTTGGTGTAAGAACACTTTTGCTGAGACAGACTTTCTTACAATGTTAGAAATATTAAACTCAGACTGAAAACAAATCTATTTATAGCCTAACCGTAGTCTCACATCCTCTTTATTTCTTTAACATCCTATATACCCCC